CATTTATGATTTTCTTACAGATTTTTCAGCTCTGCCTTCTATTTAGGATGTGAAGGTACACCAGCACAAGTCTGAGTAGCATGATTTGTGCAAACCTTTTGTTCAGGTTTCTCTAAATATACCTGCCAAAACTCACTGAAGGCTAACCTCTGGGACTTGAAAACAAAGAAAGAAGAAAAAAAAGACTCCTTTTTGTTTCCAAAGCTGTATTGGACTTGTATTTAGTTGAGATTTGAGACCTAAATGACACTTCCCTGGTGTGTGTATGAGAGTAATTTGAATGAAAACAAAGAAACCGAGGTTGGTGGGGAGACTTTGACATCCTCAGCTTTTCATATTTAAAATAGTGTCCGAACCTGCAGGAACAGTATTGGACCCAGTGTTAAATTAGAGCATTTTTTTTAGTTTGGTTAATTTCAATACCAGTGGTAAAAGACTCTGTGTGTTTGTGTGTGTGTATGTGTGTGTGTGTGTGTGTGTGTATGTGTGTGTGTGTGTGTGTGTGTGAGAGAGAGAGAGAGAGAGAGAGAGAGAGAGATAAGAAAAAAATTGTAACTGCTTAATGATGGCAGTGGGAATAAAACATAGAGGTCGATAATAAGGCAAACATCCCAATGGTTAGTTTAAAATCTGGAAGAGAACGTGAGGTGAAACAGATGGGTCATTAGGTTCTGATGCTGTGACATTTGGAAGTCAGAGCTACATTTTCTTTGAAACTGTGAATAAACAGCTTGGATATAATCTAGGATGTTCTTCTCTGATACTGGTTTTATTCCATTTGACTCAGGGCGCAGAAAAGTAAGTGTTGGTTAAATTGTCTTGCTATAGTTATTTGCTGGAATGTATTAGTTTAAAATATTTTTACTTATATTTGATTTCAGTATAACTGGGACTTAAGCTTGGGATCTTTCTAAGGTTGTTCTTATGGGACTACCTCCTGGTTTAAGTTCTGTCTCATAGAATGATATTTTTGACATGTGTTTACACAACTGCATAGCACCTGGGAGCTGGAAGGAACCATAGCAATGTGGAAATAAACGAAGAGCAAACAAATGAGAACACGCAGGGCTATTTCATCAGGCCTTGCTGAAGCAAGGCAGTCAGCCACCACATTTGGCAGAGACTCAAGGCAGGAAGAAGAGTGGGAAAGCTTTATAGTGAGAAAAAGGGAAGGCTTCAGTTACACCCCCAGTGGAGGCTGTTGGCAAAGGGAAGCTATAGGCAGCCGAACTAGAAGCAGGACATCCTATGTCGTTGGTTAGGGGAACATATTTGACTTTCTCTGGTTGGTCCTACGCTAAAAGCAGGGCCCAAAACTGGGGAAGCTGTCAGTTTTTAATCAAATCCTGGCTGCTTTGGGCCAATTGTTATACAGGTTATTATTTGCTAGAGATAGTGGTCTGAATTTCTACAAGTCTGAATTATAGATTGTAGGTTGGCTTTCTGGGCTGATTATTGTAGATAATCAGCTAGAATTCTATTTTTCTATGTGGTCTGGCAATTTTCTATCTGTATCTTCAGTCTCTCAGTGATTATCCAAAACAAATGTAGAAAGAATAAATAAATTCATAAATGACAAATTACTACAATTTTTTTAATGAATGCTACTTTTTGCATGTGTGGCCCTGTTTTGTTTTTAAAATATTTTAAAATGTAGGATATTATTAGATCCTTCAAATTAAATTGGGGAAGTTAGGCAGGGCTGGTATTATCTCCATTTTGTAGTTAAGCAAAATGAAGCTCCAAGTGGGGAAACCAAGGGCTCAATGTCATGGGCCACCAGCCATATGGCCACAATGGCCAAGGCTCCCAGCTGGGCCTCTCCGATCCCTCACCCAGCTGCTTACTATATTTTAAACTATTCTGTCTCTGCCCCACAGATTCAGATAACAGGGAACCAAAGTGTGACATCTGTCTTATCACACTGCTTAAAGATGATGAGTGTTTGAACTTACATGCAAAGAAAACAAAATACAGATTCTCTGAACCATTTCTGTAATTTTTCACTATGGTCTTTCTCAAAGATCTTTATTTGAATTAAACTTTCAACCTGGTGAATTTTACAACTTGTGATTTTTAGGTAACCAGATTTTTGAAAATACTATTAGCTCTGTGCCACTTCAGTACATTTGTAACACTGGCTTGATCCTCTTGTTCCATTAAGAATGTTGTATTTTCTACACACATCAGAAAGATGCCAGAGGAGTTGGGAAAAGTACTCCATAAATGAATTGGTTAAATGCCTACTGAGCAATATGCTAAGAGCTAGAGGCACCAAGTGGAGAAAAAAGCAAAAATCAAAACTCAGGGCTTCCCTGGTGGCGCAGTGGTTGAGAGTCCGCCTGCCGATGCAGGGCACACGGGTTCGTGCCCCGGTCCGGGAAGATCCCACATGTCACGGAGCGGCTGGGCCCGTGAGCCATGGCCGCTGAGCCTGCGCGTCCGGAGCCTGTGTTCTGCAACGGGAGAGCCCACAACAGTGAGAGGCCCGAGTACCGCAAAAAAAAACAACTCAGACCCTGCCTTTAAAGAACTCCGGGTCTTTTAAGAACAGGTACACAGAAAAATGATACAAGACAGTGTCAGTGCAGAGATGACTTTATCCCAACATGGGCTGGATATATGGGATGGGGAGGCCTCAAGGGTACTTAAATTAAGTAACCTTGACTGAGGAAAGAGTTCCCCAATTAAAGGACAGGATGTAAGGGTATTCAAAGCAGGTGAGATAGGAGATGGTAGCTATAGAAACCAGTGTTGTTTTTCTTGGAAGTTTTTGTTGGAAGTGGAGTGGTGAAGAGGAAGCTACAGCCAATTTATTGGTATTTCTTGAATACAACGTTCAGGTAGGAAGTAAAAAAGTTAGAGAGGCAGGGAAGAGTGAGATGGTGGAGAGTCTTGTGGGTTGTAAAGAGCTTAGACATACTTCTGTGGGTAACAGTGGGCTTCTGGAAGGATTTTAGTCAGGGTTTACATTAAGGACAGATTTGCATTTTTTTGTTTTTGTCTCTAAACACTTATCTATGTGCATTACAGAATGGCTATCACATCAGTTCTCTGAAATAACATCGTTCTGAATGTGGCAAGTGGATATCACTCCTAAACCATCTTTATTTACTACATGTGCTATTTTTTTTTAATTAGGAAGTGATTTTATTAAAAAAAATTTTCCCATTGGCTATTTTTTTAAATTGAAGTATAGCTGATTTCCAATGTTGTGTTAGTTTTAGGTGTGCAGCAAAGTGATTAAGTTTATATATATATATATATATATATATATATATATTCTTTTTTAGCTTCTTTTCCCTTATAGGTTATTACAAAATATTAAGTAAAGTTCCCTGTGCTATACAGTAGGTCCTTGTTGGTGATCTGTTTTATATATAGTAGTGTGTTTCTGTTAATCCCAAACTACATATGCTTTTAAACACTTCTGTGCATGCCTTACAGAATGGCTGTCACATCTAGTCCCTGAAAAAAACACTTGATCAGATTTTCATTTTAAGCAGATCACTTTGGCAGTATACGGAGCTTGTATTTTGGGGAATCAAGGACAGAGTCAAGGAGGCAGTTTGCAATAATTTAAGGGTGATGATTAGAGCTTGAGCCAGAACAGTTGAGGGAGACATGATACAAAGTGCAACAGAAGGAAAAACAAGATATTTAGAAATAAAATCTGTAGAATCTGCAGACTGATGGATCTGGAGAGTAGCAGTTAAAGAAAGAGACAGATAAGTTCCTAGCTTGGATGTTTGGCAGGACAGAAGGAACCATTAGTTTACTAAGAAATGGTGTCGATACAGTACGTGAATGTTAAATTTGTGTTATCTAAGGGGCATCCAGATGGACTCATCCAGTAGGCAGTTGGATAAATGAGTCTGCAGCTCAGGAGAATGGTCCAGACTTCTGATAAACTATTTAGAAATCACTAGCCATCAGACAATTGCTAGTTGAATCCTGGAGGATAAAATCACAGAAAGAATATATGTCGAATGAGAACAGTGGCTAAGCTAGAACCCTGGGGACAACCAACATGTGAGGGACTCTCTGAGGAAGAAAAGGTATGAATGACACAGAAGTGGTGTTAGAGAGCACACCACAGGAAGATGGCCCATCAGTGAAGCCAAGAAAATTGAAGCTATCAATAAGAGAGTAATCAAAGAGTAATCAAATGGCTTAAAAATGTCTTCTTAATTTGCCAACTAAAAAGCACTAGGTGGGCTTCCCTGGTGGCGCAGTGGTTGAGAGTCCGCCTGCCGATGCAGGGCACACGGGTTCGTGCCCCGG